GAAATTTAACTTTTTTATTTTATTATTATTTTTAGTACTCCTGATGAATTTTACCGTGTTTAAATAAAGAATTATTCTATTCTATTCTATTCTTTTAATTGACAAAGGCTTTATTTTTAGTGGCAACTGAATGCCAGCGTTTTTTGCCAGGATGTGATTATTTGACCCTTTTCCCATTCGGAAATCAAAATACTTTGGTGGGAAGTATTTCTGCCTTATTCTCCCTAACTATCTTATGTTCTAAATTTCGGAAGCGTTGGGATTGCAGCGGCGGCAGAGCGAAATAAAAAGTGGGGGGGGGGGGGGNGGGAGATGTGCAAGTGGCGTATGCACAAAAACATCGTTTGATCAGCCTTAAATGGACAAGTCAATGCCAATTTGGGGGCGCAAATTCCCTTTTGAGCGCTCGTTCTAAAATATTTTAACCGTCAAACGTCAAATGGCCTGATATTTAACAACCTCGTCCCCAGGGCGCTTTTCCAAAGCCAGGGAAAAGCGCCCTGGGGACAAGGTCGGAAATTTAACTTTTTTATTTTATTATTATTTTTAGTACTCCTGATGAATTTTACCGTGTTTAAATAAAGAATTATTCTATTCTATTCTATTCTTTTAATTGACAAAGGCTTTATTTTTAGTGGCAACTGAATGCCAGCGTTTTTTGCCAGGATGTGATTATTTGACCCTTTTCCCATTCGGAAATCAAAATACTTTGGTGGGAAGTATTTCTGCCTTATTCTCCCTAACTATCTTATGTTCTAAATTTCGGAAGCGTTGGGATTGCAGCGGCGGCAGAGCGAAATAAAAAGTGGGGGGGGGGGGGTGGAGGGGGAATAAAATTGGATCATTCATTTTTTCCGCCACCCCCACCCCCTCCCCCCACCCAATAAGCAATAAAATGCGGCCTCTGTCTTTTTTTAAGACGCTGAAAACATTTTGGACCCCTCGGTATATACCGTATTTATTCGATTAACCGCCCTGGGCGCTTATTAAATTTTTGGACCTTGAGAGTGGGCGCTTATTCGAGGTGGGCGCTTATTCGAGGTTGGGCGCTTACTAAATTTTCACCATTCTCAGCAAGTGTAGTGGTATATTTTGCAACAAAACAGTAAATGCTAATAACAAAAAGCGAAGATGTAACAAAGCAAGGTTTCTGTGAAATACTCTGAAGAAAGCTCCGTCTTCGGGAGGGTCTCTTATTATCTTTTATTGGAGTTTTTGTGGGAGAGAGTAGGGTGGGGTGGGCGCTTATTCGAGGCTGGGCGCTTATTAACTTTTTATGCCTTTAGGATGGGCGCTTATTCGAGGTGGGCGCAAATTCGAGGTTGGGCGCTTATTCGAATAAATACGGTAGGATAGCCTTCCATAGGGGGGTGGGGTGGGGGTGGGGTGGGGGGACAAGGGAGTGCGGACAAAAAAATAGATGTCCCAATCCAACGTTGTTTCTTGTTTTGAACAACCTAGTCGAAGTTTACTTGAACTTTCCAAAATAATGTTTTAAAGTCCTAAGGAGTTGACCGTGGTAAAATAAAAGAAAGCCGCCTATGGATTGTAATGTCAATCATTTGGCCTGGGTTGAAAATGTTAAAGTTATTTGTCCGCGTTCTTCCACAAGACTTGAGGTGTGTCAAGAGAGAATAATCAGCATTATTCTCTTTTGGGCCTAGACAGCTCAAAAAACACAACCTCTTCCCAAGTTGAGACCAGTGCAATACTTTTAAAAATCACGTGAAACTGACAGAATAAATGCAATGTTTAACGTTCCTTTTACAGTTCCATTTTTTACAGTTTTTGAATTAATTTATCTCGAATAAGTACTTTTCTTTTGATACGAAGCACATGATAACTCAAACAGACTCTTGTATCNAGGTGGGTGCTTATTCGAGGTTGGGCGCTTACTAAATTTTCACCATTCTCAGCAAGTGTAGTGGTATATTTTGCAACAAAACAGTAAATGCTAATAACAAAAAGCGAAGATGTAACAAAGCAAGGTTTCTGTGAAATACTCTGAAGAAAGCTCCGTCTTCGGGAGGGTCTCTTATTATCTTTTATTGGAGTTTTTGTGGGAGAGAGTAGGGTGGGGTGGGCGCTTATTCGAGGCTGGGCGCTTATTAACTTTTTATGCCTTTAGGATGGGCGCTTATTCGAGGTGGGCGCAAATTCGAGGTTGGGCGCTTATTCGAATAAATACGGTAGGATAGCCTTCCATAGGGGGGTGGGGTGGGGGTGGGGTGGGGGGACAAGGGAGTGCGGACAAAAAAATAGATGTCCCAATCCAACGTTGTTTCTTGTTTTGAACAACCTAGTCGAAGTTTACTTGAACTTTCCAAAATAATGTTTTAAAGTCCTAAGGAGTTGACCGTGGTAAAATAAAAGAAAGCCGCCTATGGATTGTAATGTCAATCATTTGGCCTGGGTTGAAAATGTTAAAGTTATTTGTCCGCGTTCTTCCACAAGACTTGAGGTGTGTCAAGAGAGAATAATCAGCATTATTCTCTTTTGGGCCTAGACAGCTCAAAAAACACAACCTCTTCCCAAGTTGAGACCAGTGCAATACTTTTAAAAATCACGTGAAACTGACAGAATAAATGCAATGTTTAACGTTCCTTTTACAGTTCCATTTTTTACAGTTTTTGAATTAATTTATCTCGAATAAGTACTTTTCTTTTGATACGAAGCACATGATAACTCAAACAGACTCTTGTATCGCCCACTTCATTAGATAAGTGATTAGGAGATACTTGTCGACAATAGTCCCTAGTCCCTAGGTTTCATTATTCCTTGCGGCCAGGGGCAACCGAGTTTGTCACCGAAGCGCACGCACATCGACCAAGAGAGGCTTGGCGACTTTACACCGAGCAACTATATTGATCAAAGCACAGAGTTCGCTTGAACGCTAAATGGCCTCGTTTTGATGCATCTGTTAGTTTCGACAAGTGAATCGAAGCTTTGGTTCTGCCTTGGAGTTGCACATTTGGTTATTATAATTACTGCCGAAGCACGGGTTTCTCTTGGTAAGTACATCGTTTGTTGAGCTGCTAAATGACTGGTTGGGCGAGGAATTATCATAAATGACGAACCTTTGTTCACTGAGACATCTGCAGACATCTGCATCTGCCCATATATGGGTTATATAGGTATGTGCCGCTGTGGAGAGTATGGTTTTCAAGCAGTCTTCTCTAGGATAGGGTATATAAATCAGAGCGTTTGGGTCTAGAATAGGGTATCATTTTTCAGGAAATTGATCAGTTGGTTGAAGATTTTACCTAGACTAGGGAAACAGCTACTCTAGGATACGGGGGATTTGGGGAGTTTACTCTAGTATAGGGTAGCAAAATTCAGCTGAACTAGCTCTGGTATAGGTTAAGGGTTCCAGGGTTCCAGCCGCACATCCCCACCCAGAAATTCCTAAAGTACCCCCCCCGGGCGCGGTAGCTGGCTACAGAGGATCGTCTGTCGTTAGACTTTCGATAAAGTCCTTCGTCCTCAGTATTTAATGTGCCCGCGAGACGAAGACCTCTCGCGACTTCGTCGCTCGCTCGGCCGCTTCGCTCGCTCCTTACGAATAGGAAGCTCGCTCCACTCCGCACGCTCTCAACTGTGAAAGTGAAAGTATTACTCGTGAGGTCAACTAGTGGCAAGTCTGGTCTGTCGTCTGTTTTAATTTATGTACAAGGTTTAATAATTCAGCTGTTGTCAGATAAGTAAACCCTATATTGTGCGGGGGTGTATGTGAACAAGAGAGTAGACATAAAATTGGCTGGATCGATATATCGATCGGGCTTTAGCATTTACCTTTCAATACAACCGCGAGTAACAAAAATAAATAACTAAACAAATGCTAGTTAGCACGATCCTAACAGTTTAACCTCACTGTCACCATGCAATTCCAGAAGAGAAAAAAGTTCCGAAAACGAGAAGAAAATTCGTGAGACGAAACAAGACAGAGCTAGACATGCGCAAAAACAAGGGTTTTAATTTGGGGTATGCCTGTGAAATGCGTCTAGTGTCGAGTAAAGTGGAACGAAACAGCAAACTGTCTACTGCGCTTGTGCAAAACAAACCAACGAGCTTCGAGCATTTTACGAGCTTTTGTTTGTCTTTGTAATATTATATGCAGGAACTATGCGCATTTCTCGGGATAGGTTGCGCGTCAAATAATTCAATTTGCTTCAAGAATAGAAGGGAATCGTTTTGTCGCTTTCTCTTTACGGCGATCTACAAAGAAAACCAGCAAACAAAAACAGCAGTTTGTCGTGTCGTGAGGTTTGTATGCAAATTTTTAAAAATCTGTCGTCTCCTAGTTTCCAGTTCGCTTGCATCAGTAAACTCCTGCTGGGTTGGGTTATCTTATAGTAACTAAGTATTGTATTGTGAAAACAACCCAAAGAGCAAATGAATGGTTGAATTCTAGAGCTTGTTTATTCGTTCGTTAGGGTCTCGTAGTTAGGGATACCAAATCCAGCCTTTCGGATGCTTTCGGTAGTGTGAGCGAGCAATACTCGATTCGCGACAATATGATATTTACAAAGTTTTCGATTGCAGTGTGACAATGGATCGTTGAATTCATCTTACAACCCCAACTGTATTGGTCCTTATTTTCATAATTACAATGAAAGGCTTTAAGGAAAGCTTATAAGAGCGTTGAAGGAGAACTTTTATTTTGTGCTGAATTCTCGTTATCATTGGTTGCCTTTCATGTTTTTTATTGACAGCGAATCGTGACGTAAGGAACGCAATCTAATGACCCATAATTCTTCTCTGGGAAAGTGGCGTGAAGTTCAACATGGCGAACCACTGTCATGCAGACAGAGAAGAAACCTTTCGATGAAGTTGAATGTCACGGGACTTAGGAAAAACAGACATCGAAACCATTTTTTGGTCTATTACCACGTTATACGCTACGTTTAACGACGGGATTGAAACAAAAAGCTTGTGAGAACTGGGAAAGCTTGATCGAGGAAACCGCTGTGTAAAGTGCGACAGAAGTATTTCTTTACAAAATGAATGAACGTTCAGGTTCGCCAGAGATCGATGTGGTCGGTAGTGGAGATCATTCGGAAATGTTTAACTCAAGAAGTGGTAGATTGTATCTGGAGTCGACAAACTGGGCTCACAGAAGAAACCCTTCGCGTTCGGCGAATGAAAATGGCGCGAATCGCCTCGCGGCAAATACAAACAATGAAAGAAATCAATCGGAAACCGTGAACCTTCGAGTTCGAAACATGGGATTTATTACAGTGAAAAAAGAACCCGAATCAGAGGATGACAACGAAGGTGGTTATTCTCTTAGCTCCTTGCTTGAAGAATGTGATTTTGACAAAACCTCGCGTCGAAGGGCTCTGAAATCGCCTACATCACTTGCCTTGTCTAAACCGAAGCCTATGGAATCCGCCAAACCAGCACCGTCTTCGCAAGGACGACCAAGGCAAAGCTTGGAAAATGTCATAAGTTCGTTAAAATCTGCAAGAGCCATGAGTGATAACAAACCCGCTCCAATTAGCAGGCCAGTTGTGATGCGTCCTCAAATTGTCTCTGCCCCAACTCCTGTGTTTTCCTCCCCAGGAACAAATGGACCCCAGATTGTTGATGTTCGATCCCTTGCATCAGTGGCAAGACCACCTATCAAACAACCTGTACCAATCAGGGGTATGCTCCCAGCCCAATATCAAATATCTATGGGTTCAGCTCTCAATGCAGGGCATCCAAGGAGATGTGCAGCAAATTCAGCTACCAGTGTGCCTAATTCTAACACACCAGTTTCTACTACAGCACAAACAACAGTTATTCCAAGTACAAAACCAGTAAATATTCGATTTGTTTTGCCTGCCAATGTGCCTTTCAGTACGGAACAATTTCAACAAGTTCTCCAGGCTACTCTAGCGTCAGTTGCTAGCAGTACAAAGGTGATAGAACCAAATCAGTTGCAGCAAGCAATACAGGCAGCACTGACCTCTGTCACCAAATCTACTGTTGCTTTTAATCCAGAACAACTTCAAGAAGCCATTAAAAGTTCTTTAGCTGCTGCTGGAACAGATTCAGCACCCATCTCCCAAGTTAAGATGGCAACTTTATCTCCAACTGCTGTTTATTTGCCAAGAGGTACACAGAGGCAACCACAAACAATAGCACCAAAACCGCCACCATTACCGCAAAAGCCGACTGTTATGCGTGTTGAGACAAGCTATGGTAGCAATGATCCCCCCTCTGTAGTTAGTGTGCCACCTGCTTCAGTAGCCTCTGCGGTAGCAGTGACACAGGCTACTAACAATTCTCTCCCAGTGGAACGTAATCTTAGCGATAATCAGTCAAGTTCAGAAAGTATTAGTATGTCCACTAATTTGAGCTCAGCAAGAGATGCACTTATCAAGGCTCTTCAGAAAAATCGAGTTTTAAACAGTCCAGCCTCATGCACCATTTCTCCTCCTAGTGCAAGTCTTGCATCATCTGCAGTCACATCTGCTAGTGCTGAGACAGAGTCATTTGATTTCGACTCGTATTCGCCCCCATCATCTCCTGTACCACCAGTGTCTGTTTCTTCTACGGATGAGACTGGTCAGGCAATATCATGTTCTAATAGCAGCCTTACTGGATCTACACCTCTAACAACATCAGTAGCTACACCTCTAACAACAACAGTTGCTACACCTCTAACAACAACAGTTGCTACACCTCTAACAACAACAGTTGCTACACCTCTAACAACAACAGTTGCTACACCCTTAACAACAACAGTTGCTAACAGCAGCAATACAGATGCTCTTGATTCACAAAAGGTGTCTACATTGCCACAGGGAAACCAATTGAATACTTCCACAAGTTTCAGTGGAAGAGCTCCAGAGCTATCAAACAGACACGACTCCATTACCCCTATGAATGTAAATCCTACTGCAAAGATTGCAACATCTTCAAAGGCAGAGAATGTTAATGGTCCCAATCCCCTGCTGGTACCCTCTGCAGCCCCCATGGCAGCTTTGAATACCACATCAGTAAATTTGCAGATTTCTCTACCAGTCAATATAACACCTGAGCCTGTGAGCATTAGCAATGTCAAAAAGCCTACAGGGAAAGGAAACAAGCCTGCCCCTACAGGTTGCGGATGTTGCTCAAACTGCAAAAATATGCCTGTACCAGATAAAGATACCTATGACTGCAACCATAAAGGATGTGGCGCTGAGTACACTACTCTACGAGGACTCAGAACGCACCACTATTACCACCCCACTCACAAACCACTGTTTCCTGTTGAAAAAGCAGCCAATTCAGTGGAATATTTTCTACCCTCTGAACTTGCCAACTCTCACCGCAGTGCGAGACTGCGTGAACTTTTAAAGCATCTCACCAATGAAGAATTAAAAGAAATTTTCTTACCTCGTGTTGCCAAGACATTTTCACTTTTTGAGTTATTAGAAATGAAGTCTGTTCGTGCTAATACCGCTCGTGGTCAAGTATCTGTATCTGCTTTTAAAATGTATAGCGAGTTTGAACGTTTCAGAAAAGAGGTAGAGAATAGGTTAATGGAGCTGATTATGTTGCCTCAGGGAAAAGGGGGCTTTGTGACTGAAAAGAAGAAAGAAGCTCGCAAGGATGCACCTGCAGTTAACACAGCTAAAAGTGATACCAAACCAGAAAGCTCTCCCAAACAACCACCGACAGTTTCTGATTCAAGTTCAAGCAATTCCTCTGTTACAAAGAAGAAAGCAGAAACAATTGTCATTGATGATACAGAAGGCAAACAGAGCACTGTTGCTGCCACGACTGAATCACTGAAGAATGGTACATCAGCTGTTAAACCTTGTCCAAGTCAAGATATTTGTAGTGGCATATCCCCTAATGTTTGTGAAGGGGAGAAGACTACCAAGGGCCCAACTTCTGTAGAGAAGAAATCGGATGCTTCAGCTAGTGAATCTGGTGAAAAGAAGCTTGCTGACAAGGAGTCAAAGCAATCAGATACATTGGCACAATCTGCTAAGGAAGGAAGTGAAGCAGTGAACAGTGCTAAGCCATCAGATGAAAAATCAAGCAATCAGCAGTTAGAGTCAGAACAGGTGACCCAAACCAAAAGTAGTGTTACTGTTACCAAGGACTCTACATCAGAACCAATGGAAACTGATGAGCTTCAGAGAAAAGAAGTTAGCACTGCAGAAAAAGAAAAGCAGAAATCTCCTTCGACAGATGTTATAATGGTGGATGCAGAGGAAAAAATAGAACCTGTGAACAAAGAAAGTGATTTGCTTTTAACAGGAAAAGGAAAGGAAACAACCTCACAAGACACTGCTGATGGCAAGGTTGGCAGTAAGACTCCAGTGCTTAATGCAGATGAAAATAAATTGAAGGTCTCAACAGAAAATGAAAAGCAGTCTGCAGTCTCTAGTGGAGAGGAAAAGTCACAGGGAGTAAGTGAAAAACAAATAATTTGTGTTGAAGAAGAGCATAAAGGAGGGACTAAAGCAGTGGGGAAACAATCTGTGGTAGCTGAGAAGGAAAAAAGTATGCAAGCTGAAAATGACAGAGCTGTAAACACTGTTAAAGATCTTGGCAATAACTCAAACTCAGGCAGTAATCTGTGCAAAACTAGAGATGTCACAGTAGTAGAAAGTACTGAAAAAAATATGGCTGGCAGTGGAAACAAAAAGGCACCACAAGTTTCCCTGACAACAGATAAAGATTCAAAAGACCATTCTGTCAAAGAAAAAGTAGTTGAAGAGGGATGTAAAGAGATTGATAGTGGAGGAAAGGAGACTAGCAAGGTTTCAAAATCAAATGAGGAAAGTAATGAATCAAATGAACAGTCCACTTCACAGATGCAATCTCAGGAACCCAGCGAGAAAGGCATTGAGGAAGAGAAACAAGGTTCATCTTGTACAGTACCTTCCAATGCTGATTTGACTGGTAGCAGCAGTTCAGACACTCAAACGGAAGCAAGTGAAACACCATTGCGTAGTGAACTAAAAAGAAGGCTTATCGCGTACTCTATTGACGAGGATGAAGGAATTAATGAAAACAACCTTTGGGAGTTTGGTCTTCCATTTGCAGTAAAATGGGGTAAAGTTATCAAAAAAATCGAGACAGTGGAAGCCAGGAAAATAGCAAGGAGGGAAAATTATACAGATCAAGACATGAGACAGTTCATTTATAGTAAACCAAAGGATGCAGCAAATGTTGTTGTAAGTGCTGATTGCCATGCTCATCCAAGTTTCTACAGAGCGTATGTGATGCCAGCTTTGCTAGACAAGCATATTGACGATTTTGGCCTGTTTGGAAGGAAAATCCTAAGCGGACTGAACTTGTCAAGGAAAAAATATGTGGATGTTCTTAGATCCAGCATTGGCCCTGAATTAGCAAAGATTGTTGGAATAAACATTTTCCCAACTTTTAAAAGAATTATGGATACATGGGAGATGGTGAAGGATTTGCCACCTGGAGGAACTGTGAAAACACCGCTGGTGCTGATCCCTAGACCTGAGGATGGTCGAGATGTTCCTGATGATGAGGATGAACCAGCGCCTACCACTACCGCGGTTTGTCGCACAGCAACCAATGTGCAGAATTCTGTGCCCAGAGTGAATGACACCTTCAAGAGACTAGGTCCACCTGGAAATGAGCTTAATGGTAACAACAAGAGACCAAGACTGGATACCTCAGGTACTAAAAAATTAATCTCAATAGTGATAAAAATCAGTTTTCTCCTTACAATACCAATCCCTTATCCAGAGAAAAGGTTATGAGAATTTATAAAATGATCACCTAGGGGGAAATGCTTTGATCTGTTTTTAGATTTTCAGAAGATTAGTCTGGCAAATTTGTATGTGGATGTCGGGGGTGGGTGGGGTGGGGGGGGAGGGTTGTTTAAAGGGTTAAAACTGTATTTTTTTTACTGTCAAGACACAGGTAGAGCTAATTTGGGGTGTGTAGGATAAGTTCCTTGGCAACTTGATGTAACGTCCAATTTTTTTTATATTCTGACATTTGATTATTATTTCTAAATTCTGATTTACATGGAATTTTCAATACAGTAGATGCCCCAAAAGATACCACTGAGACAAGCAAAGCTCAGAATGACTCTTCTGCGAGAATTGTACCTCAGCCTAACGTCACTGAGAAGGGGCAGAAGCCTGACAGCTCAGATAGTACAAGTACAGGGAAGGAACAGCAGTCAGACAGTAAAAACCAGCCAGCTGAATCAAACAAGGGTCAAAATGGACAGTCAGCATCTGAAAAACCAGCAACAGAGAAAGGTATGTGAAGCAGTTTGCATGTATGGTACATACATAATAGTCAGCCCACATGAAAGCTGACATTCCAGACATCCAGGGTTGTCAGAAAGCTTTGAAAGAGATGGCTGAGTTGTCAAACTAAGCGGCCAGTCCAGGGATATTAATTTTTACTTAAAAAACGCTATCTGTAAATAAATGCCAAGTAGAGTAGCCGGCTGATAACTAACCAAGTAGGCTGCGATTTTCGTCAGCAGCCGGCTACTTTTGACAACCCTGGACATCATGAACGCCTTTGTTTTAACTCCTGCTGTATGAAGTTTTCAAGTCACAGCATGGAAAGAGAGAAAATGTGACCCTTCATGCGAAAAGGGGGCTTATGGATTTTACTAAAAACCGTGAATTTTTTTCACGGTCACGGTGCGTGAATTAGAGTTTTCACGGCGTGAATTTCAAATTCCACGCCCGTTCACTCCATGCGAGAATTTTTCACTCTTGGCGTGAAACTAATCATGTTGCGACAGATCAGCGAAGACTTTCACGCCGTGATTATTTAACCGGTATAAACTTTCACGCCGTGAAATTAAGAGTGAACACATTTTCACGCCGTGAAACATGTCGAGGGTGAATGAAATCTAACCTGTTTTTTTTCGTTTTGTGTTTTTTCTCGCCCCTTTTCGAACTGGAAAAAAACAAGAATACCTGGTCACGTCAAGCTAAATTTGTGGAAGTTGATCCCACGCAAAAAATAATATTTCTCTCTGCATATTCAAGCCGTTTTAAATAGCTCATGAAAAAAATTAAAAAAAAAACGTATTCAGACTATTCCGCGTTCAGGCCTGTAAAGCCACAAATCACAATCAAACTAGTCACAATTTCTTGTCGATATTTTTGTGTGTTCATGGCAAGTATTTTATTAGATATGCACGATCGTAACTGCTTGTGTTTCATGTCAATTTGTTTACATTGTCTGTAACTGCAACAGTCGGTGACTTTTGGCTCTTTTTTTTCTTCTCCGCAACGTGCAAATTTTCCCAATGTCGATGTCAGAGACGCCTAGTTATTTACTAAACATGGCAAGGTTTTCACTCAAGAAACCTAACAAAATTCTTTGCGGAAAGACTAACTATTACTGCCATTCCTAAAACCGGGATAATTGTCGTCTATGTCGACGCGCATTGCAGTGAAGTGCCTGATCTTATCTACAGTTTTGTAGCCCCATCACACGTGCAAACTCTACTTGATTTATCATGCTCCATTTCAAGTTCCTTGTCTCTTTGCTAAATGTTATACTCAAAATTTCGCCGTTACAACGATGACCAACGATCTGAACAGAAGGAATGAAATAAATCCAAAAGATATCACGCAATATCAAAACATGCGTTACATATTTCATCTTGTCGCCACGGAGTCTAGCATTTGCATAACTTCGTGGAAGAGATAAAAGCTTCTTTTGGTTGTAAATTTAGAGAATCTTCGGTGACTCACTTTTTAAGCGATTTCATCTGTTTTGCCGAAAATCAAAAATCAAAAAGTACTGACCAGTACATGTTACATTCATGTGGGCAAATAAATGCTTGCATGACATGTAAACAAACAATGTTACATTTCATTTTGACTGTTGGAAGATTTTCACGGCGTGAAATTAAATTTCACGGTGACTGAAATTTTTCACGGCATGAAATATTTTCACGGCGATTATAAACTTTTTCACTGCGTGAAATTTTCACGGTAGCCGTGAATTTTTCACGGCGTGTTCACGGCGTGAAAGAGAAATTTCACTCACATTCCAAAAATTTTTCTTACTTTCACGGCCTGGATCGTGAAAATAGGCATAGCGTGAAATTTAGATAAGCCCCCAAGTCGCGTGAAGGGTCACAAATATCAACTTTCGGTTGCTATTTTTCAATGTTGGGGATGTCAATGTTCTCATTGCTTGAAGGTCCCTGGTAATAATTATTATTGTGGGCTCCTCTTGTTGCCTGCGATCCTAATCTCCAAGTTGTTCTTTCATGTGTGGCTAGCATTGATTTGGACTTCCACTAAGAATGAATGGTATGCAAAGCACATCGCTGGAGCAAGAGCTTTTGCTTTGATCTCACCCACACTCCCTAACCTTTGGTTATTACACGTACTAGCATACCTTTGATGTTGTACATTCAGTCTAATTAATAATGGCAATAGGACTGAGTGGAGTCCAATTATTCAGTGTGTAATCATACGAGTGATTCACAAAATCAGACGACCGCATAGCTGGAGTCTGATTTGTTTAATCGCGAGTATGATTACAGACCGAATTGGATGACACGAAGTTCTGTTACCAATTGATCATAACTGTAACAAAATTTGTGATATTTTAAGCTTATTTTGATTAAAACACAAATTCCCAGAGTGTTCTTGTTAGCAGTAAAAAAAGCCATTTAAGTGCGTGTGTGTGATGGTGCATACTGTCCTATTACACTGTCCTTTTAGTGCTGAAATCAGGACAGTTGATAGCCAATCAGATTTGAGAATTTTGTTACCGTTATGATAAAAGATAAAATTTGGTTAAAATGGTCTCAACCTAGCCTGGTTTGAAGCAGGAATTGCTGTGTCTCCCAGCCCTAGTTATTCATGAATATAAATAATAACAGGTAATCTGAGTTTGGAGAAATTGATGAGTTTGATGCATTTATTGATTTATTAATTGATAATTAATCTTAAAAATTACAAGCTTTGCTCTCAGAAAAATTGAAACGATTCCAGTGCTGTGAACCTGTGAAATCTAGGCTGCCCAGCATATCTATGAGAAAAAACTAAGATTTTTTAGTTACTTTGGAGCAAAAGTTAGTTACCAAGGTCCACCAAGCACTGCAATAGCACAACCTTGAATATGACTGTTAAAGGTGAAAAGGACACTCATGGTTATCTGTGTCAAGGGGAAAACTGATCACTACAGTGTATCTGTGTGTTATCCTTTCTAAAGCTTTAAAAAATCTATTCAAAGCAATTGACGACTGAAACTTAAGTTCTCATAATTTTTAATAAGCAACAAATGTGATATATTACACAGAGTAAATCCTCAATATTATTGGAAGACGGGCATGTATTTTTGCAGATAATTTATTGTTTCTGATTGCCCCAAATCAGTGCAGAGTCAGCCTGAGAAAACAACAGACATTCACAATTCCACAGGGCTCTCATTAAGAGGTGGGAGGCGGGGATTTCCCCTGGTTTCTAAGAATATGGCCCCGGGCTACTTTCATAGGAAAATAGAAGAAAAATAGAACCAAAAGAAATCCCTAGCTGTTTGATTCCCCACCTACTTGTTGTATTTACCTGGCAACTTCAGATCTTAGTGACAGCCCTGAAGGCATCAATGATTTCCCCGCAAAATGACATCTTGGGAGAGAGTACAGAAATTTCATACTGATGGTGTGTCAATACCTGATGTGAATAGTGCTTCTAATTGGCCATGTGCATGATGGGGTCATTTTACTACTTCTACCAGAATCCTTCTGGGGTTTGCTTCCTTGTGCAAATTAGGGCTTTTGCTGTATAAGTAATGATCCGGTAAGGTGCAAAGTAATTACTTTTGTTATGTGGCAATGTGCTTTCCCCACATACGGGTGTAGAAGAATGCGTAAACCTACAGAAAGGCCACGGGTTTACTGAATAAATGTCAGCTGTTCCCTCAGGCTAGTAAACAGACTGTGGAACATTCCTTGGAATCAATAGTAGCTTGCCTGTATTTTCACTTATTTACATTGTTTGTAGTGGTAAAATCCCTGATATTGACTTTTGTATCCCCCTATTGTAGCTAAATTCCTATAAATGTTTGCACTGCAAATTGAGCTATTTCATTAGGTTACGATTGTTAACTGTAAACCCTGAGAGTTTGCTTTGTATAACCTTGAAAACGAGGGACGTACTTGCAGCATGGTTCTTACAATCTTGAAAAGGTCTTGAATTTTAGTAATTGTCGTGAATAGTCCTTGAATTTGGTTAAGGTCGTTGAAAAGTGCTTGAATTCTTTAGTAGGTCTTTAAAAATCCTTGAAATCACTATCTTGTCTAAAAACATTTTGAATTTTGTGCATGAGCAATATCTTCTTCTGTTTCTTTATTTTAAATGCTGTTTCTGTACCTCAGATGCAATTGCAAGTCATACCCAGACATTTTACAAAGTGTTGTTGTGTAGAGTTGTACAGAATAATATGATCAACAATGGCTGAAGAAATAAAAATCGCAAATGACTCCATGCACGTCTTAGCAGTAATGTGTTCAAAAGGGGGTTAGAGAATGCTGATTTATTGAATAAATCTTAGTCCTTGAAACATGTAATTTGTCCGTAAAAAATCCTTGAAATTTGTTTGTCTGGAGCTGAATGAACCATGTTGCAGCACTCTGCACGGGTGAAGTAACAATAATCATGATTTGCAGTACGGCAGAAGCTTTATTCCAAGGTTAACTATTTGTTCCCTCATGTGATTTTCCCTATCTTGTTGTTATAGGATCTGGAGATAGTGGGAGAGGATCTTCAAATTCAACAGGTGCATCCCAGAAAGAACCGTCTGTGATCAGTACAAGTGGTAAGTTTTTCCATTATCCTAATGCAGTTGAACAACTCCACAACAGCCACCATAGGAGAGAAGAAAGTGGCTGTCATAAAGAGGTGGCCATTGTGTAGAGAGGCTTACAGTCAGGGCAGGTCAAGAGTACCCCCCAAGATGGTTGAATCCATTGGTAGTTGTAGCTTTCAGTTTCATCTCTGCACTTCTGCATACTTAATAAGCAGTAAATTCACACGCGAGGTAGTCATGAAATTTCTGCCAGCTCAGTTTTCTTGAATTTTGATGTAAATCTCTTTTAAGTCCCAATAGTGACCAAGATCAAATTTCTCCAAACAATATCCATACACTGTCAAGAGATAAGAATTAATAAAATGATCACACAAGAAAAAATGCCTTGATCTTTTATCAAATTCTCTCTACTAACTCTTAAAGGAAATGTATAGAGATCAGTTTGGAGAATTTGTATGTTGATACTGGGGCTTAAAGGGTTAAGACAATTTTAACCATTCAAAGATATTTCAATCTGACCGAATACAGAGGAGTTATCGTGAAAAAGTTCACTGCTCATTACGCATGCAGGAATGCGGATTTAAATTTGAGACTGGTTGTGGCAACAACTAATGCACCTATCAATGTAAACCCAGTGGGGGCGGGGGGGGGGGAGTGTGGGCAAGGGGATCTTATTGGCCATGTGCATGATGGGGTCATTTTACTACTTCTACCAGAATCCTTCTGGGGTTTGCTTCCTTGTGCAAATTAGGGTTTTTGCTGTATAAGTAATGATCCGGTAAGGTGCAAAGTAATTACTTTTGTTATGTGGCAATGTGCTTTCCCCACATACGGGTGTAGAAGAATGCATAAACCTACAGAAAGGCCACAGGTTTACTGAATAATTGTCAGCTGTTTCCTCAGGCTAGTAAAGAGACTGTGGAACATTCCTTGGAATCAATAGTAGCTTGCCTGTATTTTCACTAATTTACATTGTTTGTAGTGGTAAAATCCCTGATATTGGCTTTTGTATCCCCCTATTGTAGCTAAATTCCTATAAATGTTTGCACTGCAAATTGAGCTATTTCATTAGGTTACGATTGTTAACTGTAAACCCTGAGGGTCTGCTTTGATGTAACCTTGAAAACGAGGGACGTACTTGCAGATGGTTCGTACAATCTTGAAAAGGTCTTGAATTTTAGTAATTGTTGTGAAAAGTCCTTGAATTTGGTTAAGGTCGTTGAAAAGTACTTGAATTCTTTATTAGGTCTTGAAAAATCCTTGAAATCACTATCTTGTCTAAAAACATTTTGAATTTTGTGCATGAGCAATATCTTCTTATGTTTCTTTATTTAAATGCTGTTTCTGTACCTCAGATGCAATTGCAAGTCATACCCAGTCATTTTACAAAGCGTTGTTGTGGAGAAATGTACAGAATAATACGATCAACAATGGCTGAAGAAATAAAAATCGCAAATGATACCATGCACGTCTTAGCAATAATGTGTTCAAAAGGGGGTTAGAGAATGCTGATTTATTGAATAAATCTTAGTCCTTGAAACATGTAATTTGTCCTTAAAACATCCTTGAAATTTGTTTGTCTGGAGCTGTATGAACCATGTTGCTGCACTCTGTACGGGTGAAGTAACAATAATCATGATTTGAAGTACGGCAGAAGCTTTAACTTGAAATCCCTTGGCCTGAAGAGGGTCTTTATTCCAAGGTTAACTGTTTGTTCCCTCATGTGATTTTCCCTGTCTTGTTGTTATAGGATCTGGAGATAGTGGGAGAGGATCTTCAAGTTCAACAGGTGCATCCCAGAAAGAACCGGCTGTGAACAGTGCAAGTGGTAAGTTTTTCCATTATCTTAAAGCAGTTGAACATTTCCACAACAGCCACCATGAGGAGAGAAGAAAGTGGCTGTCATAAAGAGGTGGCCATTGTGTAGAGAGGCTTACAGTCAGGGCAGGTCAAGAGTACCCCCCAAGATGGTTGAATCCATTGGTAGTTGTAGCTTTCAGTTTCATCTTTGCACCCCTGCATACTTAATAAGCAGTGAATTCACACGCGAGGAAGTCATGAAATTTCTGCCAGCTCAGTTTTCTTGAATTTGATGTAAATCTCGTCTAAGTCCCAATAGTGACCAAGATCAAATTTCTCCAAACAATATCCATACACTGTCGAGAGATAAGAATTAATAAAATGATCACACAAGAGAAAATGCCTTGATCTTTTATCAAATTCTCTCTACTTATTCTTTAAGGAAATGTATAGAGATCAGTTTGAAGAATTTGTATGTTAATACTGGGGCTTAAAGGGTTAAAAAGATTTTTCAATCTGACCGAATACAGAGGAGTTATCGTGAAAAAGTTCACTGCTCATTACGCATACAGGAATGCAGATTTGAATTTGAGACTGGTTGTGGCAACAACTAATGTATTAATTTTTCAAATAAGCAATTTATTAATGCAATCTTGGAAGGAACGCTTGACCTGCCTTGAGTGTAAACAAGAGTTAGTTTATAGATTATTTTTCTGTGAAGAGGTGGCCATTAGTGGAGGTTTTACTGTACAACCTCAGGAGTTGTGTTTCCAGCTTGCAAAGAAAGTGGTGTCCGATAGCCCGGGGCTAGTGGATTTTGCTACTGGGCTAGTGAATTCTGTTCTCAACTTGCCCGACAGGCAGGTAACATTTTGGGGGGAAGTCAAATTACAGAAGAACTGTAATCAATACCACTCATTAAAAAAAAAAAAATTGGGGGTCTAGTTAAAGTGTCTCTTGAGGTAGTACATTCCAGCTACAGCCTGCCTGATTGGCAAGCTGTAAAACTGACTTTCTTTGCACCCTGGGTGGGGCACTTCCTTATATGGCTGAAACAGGTGGATGCCGCCAACAGGATATGGCTTTCAGGGTCTCAAGTTTTAAAGAGGGTATCAGTGATGTTGTTACAAATAGTAGTGCTGAGTCACGGGACTCTTCTTGTGAAAAATCGTGAGTCCCAGTCCAGAACCATTAAGTCCCAGTTCAAGCAGTGAGCCCAAAATTGAAAATGTGTGGTCCTTTATGTAACCAGACAGTTAATCTGAAGACAGACTCCAAACTCTGCACTATAGTATACTGAAATTAGAACATAGTCCTTTTATTTTAAAGTACAACGTAGGCTACAAGAAATATGCATCATTAAATCAGACAACAGCCATAATAACTGCCACAGTAATTACACGAACAGAATATTTCTACAAAAACACATGTTCAGATTGATCGATCTTTGCGTCCTACAGGATGCACGCCATGAATTATTTAGCGTCTTTGGGGATTTTTATGGGTCAGGCACACAGGATGCAGAGGTAACAAAATCACTGGGTTTGAAATGTCTCTATTTAGCATTTCGAATCCAATTCAAAATGCGTAATAGAGAAATAAGAGTGAGTATAGTAATAAGAAAAATTATTTTATGGTTTAAAAAGGTTCTTACAAAATCATTTAATGGTCAGCCATGTATCTTTTATTGATCTGGGTAAGTTATTAAAAAGAAATTCGCCTGATTATCTTAACAATCAGGTTGTTTTTCTTAGCATTAACTTTAGTTTGTTAAGTGAATGTTGTTACTTCTGTAATAAATGCAAAAAGGATTCCTCTCAGTTTATAACCTAACTTATGCATTTGCAAAAAGAAAGAGTGAAAAAGACCAGGCTTGCCAAGATTCAAACGCTGACATCTGAGTCTGCAAAACTTGGTTTGCTAGCTCAATTGGTTAGAGCTCTGTACCGGTATCACAGAGGCCAGGGCTCTAATCCCAGCAAGCCTGATTTTTCCTTTTCAGGTTTTCTTTTTGCAGCTGCATAAGTTGTGTTCGAAACTGTGAGGATTGTCTTTGCATTTAATTCTTCATTCCATGGTACAATGTATGAAATTCATGTATACATTCCCTCAACTTCATCTTGTCTCATTAGTGTAAACTGTGCAATTTTCTAATGAAATAATCCAACAAATATAGAAATACAGTTGACCCTCCACTAACGGCCACCTCTCCACAATGGCCACCTCTCTACAACCAAACAGCCACTCCTTTTGGTGGACAGACCATAAACCTCTTTACAATGGCCACTTTCTTCTGTCCCCAAGGTGGCTGTTGTAAAGAGGTTCAACTGTGATTCATTTAGACATTTAAAATCTAAAATGCAGTTGTGGGCTTCCCTCTGTGCTTCCAAATCCACCCTCCTTCACATATTCTATTGATTTTTTGCTAGGCGCAGCAGCTTCATCTTCCCAAAGTAAGCCATCTACCTCTTCAAGTCCACCTCTGATCATACCAAAAAAGGCAACAATCTACACTAATGAAACCAGCAAGGCAGGAGGTTCTCCATTACCCCTCTCTTCTGCTAAAGGTTCACCATTATACCTGGTTCCTGTGGAAAAACTTGCTCCCAAACTTGTTGAACAATTCCTCAACCAAGCCAAAGGAGATGGTGTCAAGACGCGGAGTTCTAGCAGCACTAAGAAACCTAAACAGGCAAAGCAAGGCTCTCAGGTGTTTGTCCTGATTCCGCCATCCAACCCCAGTGGGAGTCCTACCATACAGACGCTGACTTCTGAAGAACAGCTGGAGGGTAGCGGGGATAAGAAGCCACTGCTGTTGCTGCCGGCAGATAAGGTGCCCAAAACTATGGCCAGCCAGTCACCTACTGTGCGAAGAAAAATGTTGATTACAGTGATGTCGTCACGTGAAAATACAAGCACTGCACAGTCGGCTGCGAAGCAGAGCATGACAACCACAAGTNGTCACCTACTGTGCGAAGAAAAATGTTGATTACAGTGATGTCGTCACGTGAAAATACAAGCACTGCACAGTCGGCTGCGAAGCAGAGCATGACAACCACAAGTGCTTCTTCAGCAGGTGTGAGATTATAACATTGTATATGTACCTTTTACGACAGTCCCAGCCAGAGCTAGTGTTCAAAGCTCAACTTTTTTAAAAGTCACGTCTTGGCAACCTAAAGTTATAAAATGATAGCCAGACAGAAAAATGATATTGGTCTTTTATATTATAAATTATGCATATTGCATGAAAGATTTAATGAATCGAAATGGTTGCCAAACCACTACATCCAAATGTTTGGCACAGCAAATAAGATCTTAACGCTTGTGTCTGGATATTAACACCCAGACACTCATGCGAAAGAGGCAAATTGAGAAAAAAAACTAGAGTGTAATAACTGTAAACAGTATTCATCCAAATGTTTATCATGCTCTTGCACAAGAAGGACCATAAACTCTAACTATTTAAAACACTATTGTTTTGCAGCATTAATGAAAAACACAGGTTGTCAAGTTAGTGGCTTTTGCTGCAGTTAATATTTTTAGTCATTATTTTTCTTTTCTACTAGCCATAGGGACAAAAAATAGTTGCAGCTTGGAGTGCTTTGAGCATTAGGTGAATTTTTTTCTGGGTAATCCAGGGTTTAAAACCCTCAGGCATGCCTGTAAATTATAGTCATCTGGTTGCTTCCTGCCAGTTCACAGTTGTTGATCCTGTTACTTACATTTGTAATTTTTTTTTTTTAAAGTATTCAAGTTAGGCTCAGTTCAAACTTCCAAACTTTTCATACGCCACTTCCACATTTCCCATAGTACACCTTATTTGCCCCCCAAAATTTTGCAGAAACTTTGTTTTTCATTTCTCCTGAGTATTACAGCAGTCCCAAGAGAAATTGAAAACAATGCTTATGCAAAGTTGTGGGGGGCAAATAATGTGCATTATGGGAAATGTGGAAACAGCGTAATCCCCACAAAGAAGTACATGAAAAGATCAACGTTTGAATCGATTAAGTCTCACATATCTAATTTGGGTCGACCCATGAATTTAGTTGGAGTTGCCCACATGGGAATTTTAACAAAGGAGCGACTTTGTTTCACATATTAAGCCTTTCATGAGCCAAACCAAATTTGCATAAATTATTGTAATTTATTTTCACTGGTAAACATTTTAGACCATTGTACATTGTGAAAATGAATTGAATTGAATTAAGTTCAACGTCTGAATCAACCTCTGAACTTGTATCATTTGGGTTGACCCAAATTGCTATTAAGTTCAACACATAAAAAGTCAACGTTTGAACAGTGCCTTGAGTTCCTCTAAATAACTAGAGCATCTAATTGCACTTGCTCTATAAACAAAGCTTCATATTTTACATTGTTATTTCGCAGAATTTAGAATTTGTTTCTGCAAAGTTGACACCAGTTTGTTAAAACAGTGAAGGTTCCCTTTAGAATCACATTCCTGTGGCAGAATTAGCCCCATTCAGTAGAGCACTTGACTGTAGAGTGGGAGGTCAAAGGTTGGATTCTCGGGCCTGGACCAATACTCAGGGTCTTGAAATAACTGAGAAATAAAGGCATTGCATTTCTGATTTGCCTTTCAAATGGCAAGACCTTGCATGGCCTGGATGGATAAAATGGCACTCCCGTCTCCAGTGGGTGACAAAAAATAGTGTCGCCAATAATCAGTACTTTTGTGCTAAATAAATTTACACTGAAAAAAGTGCTTCTTTTTTTGTTCCTAATTTACCTGTGAAATAATTCTGTTCATTGCATTGTGTAGGAGATCAACAGAGGCCTGATTCCGCTGTGCAGTCAATTACTTCACCAATCATGAGTACACAGGAAAGTGACAGCAACACAGGTACAACAGCAACTCTTGGGTCGTTTCTCCATTGTTGTCCACAAGGAGTAGGCCTACCTCCTAGTGGTCTATGTTCACAGTTCTCAAATCACAGACAACAATTATTGTGAAGTCGAGACCCAAGAAGTCGGTTTCTAAGAAGTCGGGAGGATACCACAGGTCACCCAAGCTCTGTGCCTGACGAGGTTAATCAAAGTCAAGGGAAAAGTTCAGAAGATGCTGAGCCTGAGTTGAAAGAGTCCACTGAAAGAACAGAATCAGCTGCTTTATCTTCTGGAGACACTAACACACCCACTGACCCATGTGGAAAAACTCAGGCTAGCGGTACTACTGTGAGCGCAGATTCAATGGACAGTGAGAAGACTGGTGGGTTGGATTTCCTAAGATCAAGCTTATTACCCAGCGATATGACGTTAGATCATCTTCTCAAGGACATGACAGGCAATGGTTCAGGTGGTGAAGCCAGTGCCATGTCGCCTCTCGATATATCTGAAGTCATAAGTAGTTTTGGAGAGTTGCCGGATGAGTCCAGTGCTACGGTCACTGATGATACTGTAACCACCACAGTGCAAGGTGCAGCCTGTGACTCTGATACCGAGACCAGAAGCAGTAGCCAGGGTAGCACTGTTGGTGATGATAATAACCTCGCTACTAGGAGACAGTCTCCCAGGCGGGGACCTTCTGCCACCAAGTTAACACCAGTGAGTTCTTTAGCAGAAACTTCATCTCCCAATACATCAGGTACGTTTAAACTTGAACCTGTAGGTTTAGAGGACTTAAATTCCCACCCCTCAACCCCCACTCCCCACTGAGGGAATGGATGTCAGTTTGTTTATCCATAACCCCGCACTGAGTTTTACGAAAGAAGCCTTTGTTATAGTGGTGGTGTGCTGTGGAACAGCTTGCCTTTGGAGGTCAGACAATCGACATTCATGTATGTTAAAGAAGCTCAATTTTGATAGTGATTATTACTTAATAATTCAATAGTTTTGTGTAATTTAACACATGGCTTTCTTATAATAGAATGTAATTGTACCTGAAGGAGTTACAGTGTTTATATAAAGTTTACCTTGCCCTCCCCTCTCTAATCAGTCCCCCCTTTTTTCAGAGGAAAAAGGTTCAGCCCTCTCCCTTCCCCCACCCCCACCCCCCTTTCCTTACTGAATGTTCTTCACAATCAAATTAATAATGATAGACTGTATATTTAATTAATCCCCACTTAATTACTTCATGCGAACTGCTCCGGTAAGGTTTACTGGTAGTTGGATTTTTTTTTTCATTTTTGGCTGCATGACCTCCAGCTTCATGTGCTTCAACTTTTCCGCTTTGCTTTCTTGTTTGTTATTGAGGATTGATTTCATGTTCTGGTCGTTTGATTAATAGCAGTATAGCGCCCGGTTTCGCTTTTGAGGATCCAGCTTAAAGCACTCCCCATAGGCTTACCTAGTTCAAGTTCAAAAAGTTCAACATAACAAAGGGAAAAAAGTGCAAGGCAGCCAAAGGAGCCGAGCTTTCGAGTTGGCTACCACCACAGAGTGGTTACAAGTGGGTGGAGGTTATACTCTCCACCCGTCATCTTTATCATCACTCCATCATTGTCCTATTATTTTCCTTTTATTTTTTTTCTTTTGTTTTTCTTAACACCAAGCTGTAAATTTGGTTTGCTTGTTATGGGTGGGGCTTATACATAGGCTCAGGGTAAATCATGAATTGAACCAAGTCCCTTGTTTCTTTCAGAAGCATCAGACAACGAAGATGGAAGCCCCCCGAGAAAACGTCGAAAAACCCCAACAAGATCCTCTGTGCGTTCCTCCACCCAAGTCACCTTCGTCCCTGATAAAGATGTCGCCGGTAAAGCGTTAACATCAAAGCCAAAGGCACGAAAATAGTTTTTTTCTCTTGTTTACTTTTCTGCGTAGTAACAGAAATGACATTTATTCATTTTTGCTAAACAAAACATTACTACAGCTCTCTGTTCATCCTTGGTTAAAAAAAAGCTAGTAACAACATTTGGCTGTCAAGTGTATTTAATCTCCAAAGGGTTTCTTCTTTGAAATACCTTAATTTTGGGACCTACGTGTCCTGTATTGTTTTGTCTCAACATTCGTATCATAATAGCAGTTTTAGTGAGGACAAAAGTTTCCTTTGTGGCTTAATGTGTATCGCAGAAGAAAGCATAAAAATTACGACAAATATATAAGTATGTTTACATCTAATTATTTCTAATCACAAGGCTTTGCTAGGATTATAATTGAATTTTAAACCTTTTACTCATATACGCAGTACAGTTTTTTTTTGCGCTTGTAAGTCGTTAGGCTATACGTTGCACTACTTGATGTTTCAAAAGTCTCGTTTCTAGTTTCTGTCGAAGATTTGAAGAATTAGACCACCTTCGTACTTGTTTCGTTGTTGAAATACTGCATGTAAAACTGAGCTCCTGTAAAAATTCGTCTATTTGAAGTGTTAAATCCACCAGAATCCACTTGTTTTGCGCGCGTGTAGGGAGTTGACTTGTTATTAATTACCTTCCTCCAGACTTTCTTACAGAGAAAGGAGGAGAAAAAAAAATAGAAATATTTTAAATTCTAATTAGGGTTTTTGATATGGGGCGAGGCTAGAAGGCAATTGTTAGCCACTATCTATTGAGCAACAGACTGACAGTGATTATATGGTATTGTTTGGGGCAACTTTTTTTAGTAACGACCGCATTAAACTTGTATTTCCATATTGTAGACCACTGAGATATATTTATCCTTAGCGATGCGGTTGGTAGCTTAATCACCGTTTAAGAGAAATTTTGGAGCATATGT